GAACTTCACCACCCCGAGGGTATTAGGAGGCTTACTTTGTCGAGGACGAAGTTAGTCATGTAGGAACTTAGGGGGATACGAAGTTAGGAGATCGAAGTTAGGGAGATCCGAAGTTAGGAGGATACGAAGTTAGGAAGGCACGAACTTCGTCGGGGACGAAGTTCGTGAGGTACGAAGCTCGGGACGTCGGGTTGAACGAAGTTCTGCGTTGACGAAGTTAGGGAAGGACGAAGCACTTAAGGGCCGAAGTTCCCAGAGATCTTTGACGATCTCTGGTTGTTGTCTTAGTGATAGAAGTTAGTAAAGTACGAAGTTATTACACCCAGAAGTTATTGTCACCTATTTCATATCTCAAACAACGAAGTTGGTAAAGGTCGAAGCCCACGAAGTTATTGGCCGTCGGTCGTAGGAAGTTAACGAAGAAGCAACCCTGTGACAGTACCAGAGATCGTCCTTACCGACTCTCCAGTAACTCGTGGGAAGATATATGTGGACTAGAGGAAAAGAACGAGAGAGAAGAACGGCTGAAGCAATGTCGAGGAACGAACAGGGGGATAATCAAGGTAACCTAGAACCTCGCGGTTCTAGGGATTCGTCTTTTCTCTCCCAACCACCTTCTGACGCATACTTGGGCGATCCATGGGTTGAGGGAGGTGATCAAGGGAGAAGATTAGAGGAAGAAGATGGGGGGTCGACTGGTGGAAGAAGTTCGTATACATCGCGACCTAGGGGAGGGAACTCACCGGAGAGATTTAAAGAAGATATTAGGGATGGGATGCTGGTGGAAATGATGAGAGCGCTGAGAGAATTGAAGGCGGCTGACAACCAGAAGAGTGAGGCTCTGACAGAGATAGTACAAGAACTTCGTCGAGGACAGCGGGGAACTAGAGAAGGGTCAGCGACAACTTCGTCAACTCGAGCGCCGAAACCGAAAGATCCGGACGAATTCGATGGGTCAAGGGAGAAGCTCACTGGGTTCTTGACTCAGTGTTCGTTGGCGTTGAGTGTGATGAAGGATAGGTTTGAGAGTGAGGAGCAGAGTGTGTTGTGGATGGTAGGGTTCTTACGAGGGGTTGCACTGCTGGCGGTGCAGCCTCATCTACTTTCTACTCCTCTTCCCCCTTTCCTCTCAAAACGTTCTGAGTTTGCTGTGTGGATGAAGAAGAACTTCGGTGACCCAGATGAGAGGGGTACGGCTATTCGGGGGTTGAGGGAATTGAAGCAGAAGCAAGGGAAAGCATCAGCGTACTTCGCTGAATTCCAAAAGTATATTGCTATATTGGGGTGGACTGAGGAGGAGATGTTAGTGGCTCAGGCTATTAACGGATTGGACGAAGTTATGAAGGACGAGCTTTCCCGGAGAGAGGAGATTGGGACTATGGAAGAACTGAAGGCAGTGGTGATCAGATTGGACAATAGAATGACTGAGCGTTGGGTGGAGAGACAGGCTAATGGGCAGAAAACAAGCTGGGGAAGAACGCCTAACTTCGTGCAATCAACGGCGAAGTTAACGACGACACCCGCGAAGAATCCTGTGGGCTCGGTGTTGCCTCCTCCCCCAGTTCGGAGTAACTTAGTGACAGGATCACAGGGTTGGAAGCAAGGGGATCCTCTTACCCCTAGGCCTAGTTTCGACCAGAGGGAAAAGTGGAGGGCCGAACGAGCGTGTTTGGAGTGTGGTGGCCAAGGACACTATGTGAAGGACTGTCCCTTGGTAGCCGCTAAGGTAGCTCAAGGAAAGATGAATCCTCCGGAGATGTGGAAGAGTTCAAGGAATAGGGGAACAGGAGGGAATGCAGTAGCTGTGGGGGAGTCGAGGCAAATGAATGCGGTAGCAGGGGAGGATGTGGATGAGGGAAAAGGCCTGGACCCGTCGGTTTGAGAGAACGTCGGCGGGTCCATTTCTCTGTCCTCTCTGCTATTGTTCCTTCTGATATTAAGAGGAAAGAGCTGACAGTAGCAGAACCATGTGTATACGAAGATGGACATTTCCTCACGATACCCATCACTAATGTGAGACAACCAAAAACAAAAATCAACGTAAAAGGGGCCCAGGTGGTCGCCTTATGGGATTCAGGAGCGACCAGTTCATATATAAACCCAAAAACAGTGGAGGAGTTAGGATTGGAAGTTATAAGATACCCAGAGGAAGTACCTGTACGTATGTTCGATGGTTCAGAAAGTATTGGTGGCCCCATCACGAAGTTCGTTGAAACGGGGATTCGTGTGTCAGTTGAGGACGAAGTTCGTATGATTCGGTTGGACGTCATGAAGTTGTGCGATGCAGATGTGGTGATAGGATGGGAATGGATGAAGAAGGAAGGAGTGGTCCTGGATGTTAGGGAGGAGGTAATAAAGATCCCGGGTAGACAGAAAAGAGAAGGGGAGAAGTTAGGAGCGGTTTTTGGGTCAAGGAAGGGGAGG